AAGTGTAGATGAATATATATATATATATATATATATACACACACACACACACACACACACACACACACACATATGATGGACACGATCCTTTAATGGCACACGGATGTTACTTAATATGGATAACCAAAATTGGAACTCAGATGGCTTTTGCCCTTTTTACATACAGTCAGTTCAAACAAAACTGACAAACAAATCAATACTGGTTGCAAAGAAACTACTCGCAGTATTATATGAGTCATTTTGATCTACTATGTAGTACATGGTTGAGAGGTGCATGCATTAAGGCTCCATAGCTCAGTGGTTAGAGCACTGGTCTTGTAAACCAGGGGTCGCGAGTTCGATCCTTGCTGGGGCCTGAATCTTTCTTCACAGGTACTTTTAAGCCCATAAAAGGTGTTTGCAGACATAAATGATGAACAATCTTAAAGGCCTACTCACACTGTGCTATCTGAACCGTGCCCAGGCCTGTTTCCCTGATCGTTTGAGAAGTGTGAGTGCGCTGAATCGGGCTCAAGCACGGTTCAGTTGGCCGGCCCTGGCCCGGTTTGAGAAGGTGGGCCTGCGCGCGGTTCACTTGGGCTTTGACGCGGTAAGTTTATAGTGTGAGTGCAAAACGTGCCAAAGCCCGAAACTGAAAGCAAGACATTACTTTAAGGGACTGTTTTATATGGATTTATTAACCATTCTTACTGTTCACTGAACGCAAACTGCCGTGGTTTATTAACCCCTCACGGCACGACAGCTGCGCGCTTTCAGCAGACCTCCTCATTCCTGCAGCACGAGAGCTTTTTGATGGTATGAGCGCCAAAAGTGGTGAATCTGTTCGGCGAAAAATCTGACTGCATGTCACTGCATCCCTAAGGACTGTTTGGCGAAATATTTGACTGCATGTCACTGCATATCAAACGACTGAAACGATACAACTAGAGAAATCTCCACTGTTTTGGTGAGTGAGAGCGCTCACTGAACAGCGCAGCAGCGATGATGTAAGCATGCCCAGGCCCGATTGTGGTGTGAGTGCGGGCCGTCGGGGGAGACGGGAGGGGGAACAAGCGTGCTTTGGCCCAGTTCGAGGCAACTGTACCTAGTGTGAGTACTGCCTAAGTCTCTCACAGATCAGCCAAAACAAGTCTCCCACAATGTGCTGCTGATGCCTTTAATTATCTCTTCTTCCACTCTCTTTTACAGTTCAGTGACTGTAGTGTAGAACAAGCTGCAGCCAAAACAAGTATATGTGCTGCAAATGGGGTGTCGTCATCATCCACAACAACATTTTTGAATGTTGCAGTGTCACAAATTAATATGAAGTGCACAGTCCCTTCCTTTGAATAACTTCAGCACATCTCCAGCCACAAGACACCAATATAGTCTCTCACAATGTTCTGCTGAAACCTTCAATCATCTCTTCTTCCACTCTCTTCCACAGTTCAGTTACTGTAGTGGGTTTCCATAACATTTAAAGATTTTCAGGTTTAGATTTAGGCTCTGTGTTGGCCACTTCATTATTTTTTCAGCTTTAGGGAATTGTTTGTGCCCATTTTCTGTCTTCTTGTGAATTTGTTGGTTGCAAAGAAACTAATCGCAGTATTATATGTGTCATTTTGACCTACTATGTAGTACATGGTTGAGAGGCGCATGTCAACCACACTACACTACTGAAGTATCCGTTACTGGGTTAAGTATATAAGGCTCCATAGCTCAGTGGTTAGAGCACTGGTCTTGTAAACCACGGGTCGTGAGTTCGATCCTCGCTGGGGCCTGAGTGATACTTCGAATGCACTTTTAAGCCAATGAAAAATGTTTGATTAAATTAACCAATCAGTTAGATAGAGGACAATTAATCAAACAAGAACCATCTTATGTATACCAAACTGCAGCTGAAACAAGTCTCTCACAATGATCTGCTGATGCCTTCAATCATCTCTTCTTCCACTCTCTTTTACAGTTTAGTGACTGTAGTGGGTTTAGTCTTAACTGTTACCAACAATTTTCAGAGATTTTCAGGTCTAGATTTGAACTCTTGGCCAGCCTTCTAATTATTTTTCAGCTTTAAGGATTTGCTTCTGCCCATTTTCTGTCTTCTTGTGAATTTGTCATTCATGACAAACATAATATACATTTTGCATTAGTGTAAAGGTTTAGGCATTAATAAAACACAAAAGGTTGAACTCCAAAAGCCCTTAGAAGATTGTACAGTTCAGTTGGGCATTTATAGTTGGCTTTGACCACTGCTTATACTCAACTGTAATACTAATAGACATTTGTCAACAACCCAAGACACACCTCAGCTGTGTTACATTTCATATGCTGATAAAGACAACTACTAACTAGGTATGGCTCTATAGCTCAGTGGTTAGAGCACTGGTCTTGTAAACCAGGGGTTGTGAGTTCAATTCTTGCTGGGGCCTGCATGATCCACTTTTAAGCCACTGAAAGATGTATGCCGAAGTTAGTCAATCAGTCAAATAGAAGACAATCAAACAAGAACCATCTTGCGTAAACCAAACTGCAGCTAAAACAAGCCTCTCACAATGTTCTCTTGATGCCTTCATTCATCTCTTCTTCCACTTTCTTTTACAGTTTAGTGACTAGTGGGTTTAGCCATAACTGTTACCAACATTTTTTAGAGATTTTCAGTTCTAGATTTGGACTCTGGGCTACCTCTTTAATTATTTTTGAGCTTTAAGAGACTGCTTCTGCCCGTTTTTTGCAAAATTTTATAACAAAGACAAGAACAGAGCAGGTCTGGTACCATAGCTCTGTGTTTAGAGCATGGGTCTTGCAAACTAAGGGTTGTGAGTTTGATACTAGGTGGGGTCTGAATGATTCTTTAAAGCCCAAAAATGCTATTTGCAAACATAAATGATGCTCACTCCAAGTATCCCAAGCTGCAGCCAAAACAAGTATATGGGGGGCCATCATCGTCCACAACATTATTAAATGTTACAGTGGTCGCAAGTGAATATAAAGTTTGCAGTCCCCTCTTTTGAATGACTTCAGCACATCTACAGCCACAGAACATCAATATAGTCTCTCACAATGTTCTGCTGATACCTTCGGTCATCTCTAGTGGGTTTCTTAGCCACAACTTTGTTGCCAATTATTTTTCAAAGATTTACCAGTTTTAGGCTTGGGCTTTGGGCTGGCCATTTCATCTTTTTTGAGCTTTAAGGAACTGCTTCTGCCCACTTTCTGTCTTCTTGTGGACTTGTCATTTATGGATGACAAAAATAATAAAATAATACATACACACACACATATATATATATATATATTGCATTAGTATAAAGGTTTAGGCATTAATAAAAGACAAAAGGTTGTAAAGTTCACTTGGGAATTTGGAGCTGGCTCTGACTTCTGCATATACCGAAACTCTGTAATACTGATAGACATTTGTCAACAACCTTATAGACACAGCTTTTACACATGCATGTTGTGTGCTACGTTTCATATGCTAATCAAGACAATCCCTGAACAGGTCTGGCTCCATAGCTCAGTGGTTAGAGCACTGGTCTTGTAAACCAGGGGTCGCGAGTTCGATCCTCGCTGGGGCCTGCAGGAAACTTCGAAGATACTTTTATAATTTATAGTAAAACACACAAGGTTAAACTTAATGTCAAAATATGTTAAACCAACCAATCAATCAAAAGCTCCAAGTTTGTACAGTTCACTTGGAGCTCAAGACCCAGCCATTTGGATCTAGTTCTGACTCCTGCTTATACCTAACTCTTTAATACTGGTTTTATAGTCATAAGTCAATAATAGTAGACACCCTTCACAGAAACAGGAAGTGTGCTACATTTCATATTCTAACAAGGACAACTGACTAAACAGGTCTGGCTCCATAGCTCAGTGGTTAAAGCACTGGTCTTGTAAACCAGGGGTCGCGAGTTCGATCCTCGCTGGGGCCTGAATGTTACCTAAAAGATATTTTATATCCATAACAACACAATAGTAGATATTAAATGGTAAGTAAAAAAAAATCAATTAAGAAAATCTGATAATAGTTCAGCTCAAACAACAAGGTGAAGAACTTCAGACTATATGCCAGTAAGAACTCCATTACTGCAAGCTGCATCCAAACAAACATATGGGATGCTCATCCTTATGGTGTTTCTTTCTAAAGGGCTTAAACCTGTTTTGTAACAGATGTACTTGTTTAAGACTCAAGTAAGTCTTGTTAATACATACAGAATTACAGCGCAAAGGGGACTTTAGGACACTTCCTAACTAAAAAGGACAAAAAACTCATCTGTGCTACATACTAAGAATATAAAAAATAATGGGAGCAAAAAGTGTTCAATAATTGAAATCTTTCATTAAACAATATTAGTTGAAGTGAATAGTTTGTGACTAGTACTTATAAACAGAAACCTTCTTAATAATTACCTATAATTACTACTAATATACTAATATACCTAAATAGCCAATCAAAATGTTAAGTTGTTTTCCAGCCCTTATTAGCAATGATAAATCAGTTTTAAATAATAATATCTCAAATTAGTAGCTATTAAAATGTAGTTGGTAAAACATGATGGGTCGAAAGAATAATACCAAAATTTCTCGTGAAATAATTTTGCATACATTATATAGGAAAACAACCATGATGATCTCAATATCATAAACTGTAGAGCATAATTATATCATGCTAGAATCAGATGAAGTTATGCAGATAGAAGGATGTCATTTGTGACGTCTGAATCATTTGTTTGTCATTCCTGCTCAACACAGAAATGTTGGACACGCCCTTCTAAGAGTTTCCTTATGTACTATTCATATTGTATTAAGCACAGACTTAGAACAAGTCCGGCTCCATAGCTCAGTGGTTAGAGCACTGGTCTTGTAAACCAGGGGTCGCGAGTTCAATTCTCGCTGGAGCCTGGAAATTATTTTTAAAGACAATTTACAAAAAAGACTTTTAGCAGAATCACTTATATACAACCAACATAAGAAACATATATGAAGGATGAAATGTGCTCTGAAAAACTTGAACAAAAACCTCAAGCAATTATGCTTTTATGTAGCATCAGTTTTACTTATGAGGCCTGCCATGTGTAAAAACCAAGAACTTGTTTAATTGATCAAAAATACTTAAATATAAAAACATTTATACATTAGATTCAACAACATCCTGTCTTAGAAATTACAAAAAAATTATTATTAATATAAAAACAATACAAAATTCGGTAGAAGAAACCTGAAGGCTGTCATGGTGCAATAAGATGAAGATCTAGATGAGAAATCGTTTGTCAACTAGCGTTTTGTTGGCCAGGTTCCTGCGGCCCAATCCATTTCGAATTAATCTAAATATCTGAAAGAGAACAAATGTAAATAAAATGTTAATCATCACCTCAAGACCATCGAATGAAACCAGTGCATTAACACACACTAACCATTTGCTGAAGGTACGTTAACACAGCTGCGAGAATGAAGTTCTGCTTGCCCAGATCAACCACACAGAAAAAGAGCGTGTCGAAGATCAACAGCACACCCTCATTACCATAAAAAAGGACATCAGCGAATGAGTGAGAATCATCTGAAGAGAGATAAACACAAGGGTATTCACTCGGAACAGTGTGAGTGGGGTTTATTTTTTGTAAGTGTATTGATTATATGAGCGTTTTACCATTATAAAAGATGCTTTTATCGAGCGGCTCTATGAACTCCATACCGATGACTCTCTCAAACAGTAGCTTATCTTTCACAATGTAGTCCATCTCACGATGTGCCTGAGGAAGCAGCATTTAGAATGTGCACAGCAAAACACACAAAAAAACAAATATTATTATTAATAAATTTAATTAGTATTAAATTAATAAGGGAAATGACAAGCATCAGTTAAAGGCAGTTCTCACATGATCAATGACAGAGCCCAGGAATCGGTTCATAGTATGGTATGCTTTTGTGCTTTGCTCGCATGGATTGGCTGTAGCATCCACCAACCTTGAAGGTCCTCTTCTCTGTAAAAGTAGAAAGATTTTTAGTCACACTTACACAAGAGTGCTTTGAGTCTGTTTGTGTGGTATGGGTATCAGCAGGCAGCAACACAATTGATTGTTATGTCAGAATGAGATAATAGTTCCTAGCCATGTCTTCCTACAAAATGTAACCACAGAAAAGTCTAATAGTCTAATCCAATTCAATGATTCATGCTAAGCTAAGCTGAGTTTAGATAAGCAAACCAAAGCTAAAAGTCCTCCTCCAAGACCTGGGCCCTCATGTACAAAGGCTTGCGTTGAAATCATACTAAAAGATTGCGTATGCACAAAGCTGTAAATGTGCGTACGCAGTAAAAAATTTAGATGTATGAAACACTGCGTACGCCGAATCACACGCATATTCTCTTAGTACATCTGAATGAACGTGAAACTGAGCGCATGAGCGCAAAACCCCTCCCTGCCTCCTCCCCCGTATGAATATGTTAATTAATATACTCTGGCAAAACCCAACGAAAAAGCAATGGCAAAAGCAAGCAAAAAGAGAAACTTTGAACAGAATGTGATTTGGAGGTGCTGCTTTCGGAGGTAGACTGGAGAAAAACGGTGTTATTTGCAAGTTTGTCCTCCGGAATTAATAACAAAAGAAAAAAATAGAGTGGGAGAGTTTGGCTGATGCGGTTAACACAGTTGTGTACATGGAATGAATGTATAGAATGGTTAATGGCTTAGGTAAAGGGTATGAACGCTTAGCTATGGATGGAACTGAGGGTGACTATTGGACAAATAGGGTTTATGAGAATGTAGTATGATCCAGAGCCTGGAAGAGGGGATTAAAAGAGATATGCACATACTCACTGTTCCTATATCCTGTTGTTTTTTAACTGTTTCTTATGTTATAGGGCACGTTGACATTTTGTGCACTGAATGAAATTGTTTTGCAAGAGCGTGGGTGGTTGGAAAAAGACCAAGAGGAACTGAACTGAATGCTTGCACGGACTCAAAGCCCATCTAACACTAAGTATAAAGGCTGGGACTGCCCCAGTCTTCTTTAGAAGAGAGCAATTAACTGTTTGATTCACATCTCAGTTGTTGTTGCCTTCCTGCTTACTGAGGGAACACACAGACGATCTGCAATTTATTCCAACAGCTGGTTTGGCATCAACTCGTCTGTCAAACTGTGAGCAGCAATATTCTTCTTTCATTTTGCTTCTTTGGCAATATGTCTGTAGGCATGTGTGGTTGCACACGTTACCATCCAACCAGTTAACAAATATGTGTTGCACATTTATGTAGCCAATTAAAAAAAAAAAAAAAAAAAATATATATATATATATATATATATATATATATATATATATATATATATAAAAAAAAAAAAATATATATATATATATATATATATTTTTTTTTTTTTTTATTTATCATTCGACTCATACTATTAACAGGTTAAAAATGCATCTTTTTTGGTTAACAGTGAAACAGTTATTATGAGCATCCCTAATTCAAAAATGGTTAAATTCGACTGTTTAACATTAAACACTAGGCTCATGTAAAATGAGTATTTTATAAAAAGAAGAAAGAAAGAAAGAAAGAAAGAAAGAAAGAAAGTGAAACTGTTTCTTTAGAAAGAAAGAAAGTGTTTCTTTAAGCACCAATGTGACTGATCATCTTTTCTTTTTTTAAAGGCAATTTCAACAGGCATGTCTAATTTTGGGGGAAATATTTGACATAGTATTTGCTTGTGTTTATACCCTGCTGATTGGCTCGATTATCCGATCATACTGTGCTCGCAGACGGTTAGTTATCGAAATCTGAAACGTCTGAGTATCAGAGTTTGGCAAAAGTCCCCTTTGGCCACACAGATTCTCCTAAAACACATAAAAAATACAATAAATAACTTATTTATTTCAAAACTACTATAAACAGTAAGCCTCAAAATCTTACCGCCTCCCTCTTAAGGTTAGTGTTCATCTCATCCATGTTAGTATCAGCATGACCATGAACAGAGCGCCCATGAATGTAGTAGCCAAAACATCGATGAGACAGCAGCAGAACTGAGATCTAAATGACACACACATATAAATAAAGAAACACAAACAACATTAAACCATGATGTAAGATGTGGTTTATAACTACATTTATCATCAAGATTTCCAGCCGGATACTTACATTACTGATTGAGCACAAATCCACAAACTGACGAATCTTGTCTTCAACAAACCGTTCATGGAACACTGTGAAGAATATCATCTGAAGCACAATCACACAAAGAAGAGCATGTGGAATCTAATTGGTGACACAATTAGTATGCCTCTTGTCTATTTTCGTATGTACCTGTATTAAGCCAATGCAGAGCCACATAGCAGTAGCTACACCATAGCGGAGTATGAGGCTGTATGGAGGCGTGTATTCCTCAGCAGATCGATTCAGGTTAGACGAAGGATCTCTTAGAGCCAAATTTGAGAAGCCTACAACCTGAAAAAAAAAACAATATGTACTGTTAATTAAACTAACAATTGTATAGGTTCCCTTTAATATGGATTTAAACCAATGTTCTTAAACTGCCGGCCTGTGGGCCATTTACGGCCCGCCCTCCTCCTCTCTCCGGCCCGCAACTGACGTCAAAAATATAAAGATATTCAGCCCACCAAAACATATAATTTTTAACCTCTTTCACTGTTGTGCAGTGGCGTCTAGCCTGTGGTTTAGCCCGCCACCTAGTTGACATTTAAAGTACTGCATTCAGATTAGTTTTACTTTCACTTTCTCTCAGTGTATTGTTGAGAGTAACACATATGCTTTTAAATTCTGTGGCTAATTTAAATGTTAAAACTAGTGCTGTCAATCGTTTAAAAAACATTTACTAAATCGCACTTTTTTGTTAAATTAATTGCGATTAATCACATTTAAAAGACTGATACTTGTAATTTTGGTAATTAAAATGTAAAATTAATGTAAACACAAGAAAAAAACTATTTAAATTTTAAATATAATTGTTTATTAGGATTTTTGTTTAACCTGTAACAGATTTCTTCATGTAAACAACATCAGCAGGCAGCAACACAACTGATTATGTCAGAATTAGAGAATAGTTCCTAGCCATGTCTTCCTACAAAATGTAACCACAGAAAAGTCTAATAGTCTAATCCAATTCAATAATTTGTTTAATATGATTAAGATAATACTCTTATTACAAGTCTACCATGTAAACAGCGATCCATGAAAGTACCACCAAGACACAAAAGGCAGAGGGTTTTTTTTTCCGTTCGCCAAGCGGTATCAAATTCCGCAAAGTCGAAAGTTAAAAATGAAACACCCGAAATTGCATGAAACTCTGGAGAGCCTGGTGATGCGACATTAATTGTTTTATACTGAAACTTGCCTTCAAAAAGTGCTTTCTTTGTCTTATCCATGTTTCTCTGCACGTTAAACACACGTCAAACACAACAGGAAATAAAAAAAACCTGCAACTGCGTTAATTTTTTAATAATTAATTATTTCAAATTAATCGCATGCGTTAACGCACTAATTTTGACAGCACTAGTTAAAACATGTAACAATATCTAAAACCATATTCTAGGATTGTTTAATTATTATCAGTTTTACACCACTTGTATCTTGTTGTACAAACACTTCTTCATAGGTTCCTTGTTATGCTGGTGGTGTAACAAATATGATCAGTTTGCTAATATTAGATTCAAATGGTCTCATTTAATAGATTTTCAATAAGATTTACATAAAATCTTTGTACATTAGTAAAATTGCACTGCTAGTTGAAATGAACTTGTTAAAGTAAATGTGAATATGTACATACTTTTTCCCCCTTTGTTGTAATTTTACAAAAAACAAAACAAAACAAAAAAATAAAAAAAACAACGATATTGAGAAAAACAATTGCCACTTAAGTCACTTAAGCCACAAAAGTCACTTAAGTTACCCAAACTTTTTTCTGCTGGTCTTACACTATTGGGACAATACAATTGGTTGGGACAGAATAATATTTTGTATGCCTATTATTTGTTGTATTTTTATAGGAATTTAAACTACCTATTCAATATGTAAAACAAGAAATAAAAACCTAAAGTTTACTTTGCATTTACTCTGTGGAAACATTATCATTATCACTGGTGACATGTAATGCTTGAAATATAAAAATCCTGTCAGTTGTCCTAAGATGGATCAGTTAAATCAGTAATTATGTCCACTTTTTTCTTGTACTTTTAAAACGGCCCTCCTGTGAATTGTCAGTCACTGACATGGTCCCCCGCTAATTTGAGATCAAGACCCCTGATTTAAACACACCATATTTATGTGAGTGACAAGCAGCATGTCATATTCATATTCATGTCATACACTTAATAAAAATAGGGGGCCCAGAAAGTTACATGTGTGCATTTTTCGCAAAACCTTATGTTACAATCGCCTAAATTGTGAAAACAATCTCCTATTTGCAAAATTTCAACAGTTTATGATTAGAAAATTCATGAATGTGCAGAATTCAGTCAGTAAAAAAGCTTGTTTTTACAATTGACTTCAACCTGACTTGTGTCCTGCTGATGTGCTTATGCTAAGATAGGGCTGTTTTTCTCCCTTTCTCACTTTGTCCTAATCAAGGGCAAGCTGAGGGGGTGTTTTTTGCCTAACTGTCCAGATGTATCTTACTTTGTTTCTGAATGCTACCTCCTGTGACCTGTCTCCCCCAAAATTGTGATGTTTGTGTATGGTCGGGGAGGTTCCATTTCACTATACGAAAGTGTATGTGACAAATAAAGGCCTGATTTGATGCCAAAGATGAGACAAATATAGCTGATAACGAGTAAGTTATAAAATGTGAGTTTTGGCTGATATCACTCTGTAGCCACTCTGTCGATTTGTTCACCTCTAACAATATATAAATACAGATAACATATTTGTCTCTTCTGTATGCATTGTGCAAAAGAAAATTGACAAAGGGAAAGAAACATGCGTCTTGACTCTTCTGTGTTGCTAGATATTGATTGTGAAAAATGCACAAGAAGCCAATAATAAGCTTTAAAATATACAAAAAAAATGTAAAAATAAAATAAAACCAAAATTCACATGCCAATTTAACCGACAACAGTATGAATCAAGCCCAAACATATTTGAAATAAGTGAAAATGGCAACTCTAGAACAACTCTATGCGAGACAGACTTCAAACAAGAGATGTTTTAGCCTCACCTCTAGAAAAAAGAGCACAGCCATAACTTGAAAAGTGGGGTTGATCTTGCGAATGGTTTGAATCTCATTCCACTCATTGGCCACAAAATAAGTCCTCCAGATACTGACAGGAGACGCCTGACTTTTTGTTTCTCCGGATCCTGAGCGCATAACAACACAAATCTAAAATAATACCAACTTATTAAAACAACATTAAAGAAGCACATTAGAGGAACACTTTAATTACCCTCCACATGTTTAGTCGTTTTTCCACGAGGTCTTTCCCAGTCTATGAAGAAAACATCCACAGAGAGCTGAACGAAAATCTTGTGAAGAAACTGTACAGTCTGTAACAAAATAAAGGCTGAGTTAAGTCAGAATAACTGTAAAGAAAACAATTAGAACCTTTTGGATACTTAAAAAATTATTAAAATAAAAGTTAAAATATAGGGTGGCGCAGCGGGTACTGCTATTGTCTCACAGCAAGAAGGTTGCTGGTTCGAGCCTCGGCTGGTTCAGTTGGCATTTCTATGTGGAGTTTGCATGTTCTCCCTGTGTTCACGTGGGTTTCCCCAATAAGTCCAAAGACATGTGCTATAGGTGAATTGGGTAAGCTAAAGTTGTCTGTAGTGTATGTGTGATGTCTGGCAGGGCATCCGCTACATAATAGATTTGCTGGAGAAGTTGCCGGTTCATTCCGCTGCAGTGACCCCAGATTAATAAAGGGACTAAGCTGAAACGAAAATGAATGAATGAACGAATGAATGATGAAAGTTAAAATACCTATTTGGACTCACCTTTAATGCAAAAGCACAGCCAACATAAACAACAAAACGCTCCTCCTGAGCTGGCAATGGCAGCAACACGGACACAAACAGTTGGGCCTAAATTTACACAATAAAGCCTTGTTATTATACGTTTTAATTTCCATCTTAAGGCCTGTTCTCACCAAGACAATCAAACAGTGTATTGGACATTTTAATTTGAATTACTACATCTCTTGTTGCAAAAAATTTGTACATCAACAATGTAAAGAACATTTTAAAAGTGAAATGTTCTACTCTCTGAACATCAGAGCAAAAATATTCAAGCTATTGGTCACGTCTCGAGTCCCGGCTGTTAAAAACTATCCTTTGTAGTGTTTATAAATCAAGTTCGAAGAGAGAAACATGAATACTCAACACACTCCTTTCCTTCTAAATTTCGTAATTTCACGTCAGAAACATATATTTTCACAGCATTTATCATGATGTGAACAAGCCTTTAGACTTAAAAGAGCTCTATCAAAGAATAATGGGTATTTACAAACTGCGCATCCTAGAAAACATGTAACTGGACAGTACAGTGGAAGAAAAATCACAGAAAGACAGATAAATGATATCTTGACAGAAAAAGTGACAGACTTGCCTCCACTGTCTGAAAAATATTGGAAGGAAGTGAAAAAGGAGGAAAAAGAAACTCAAGTAAGGCTTTATATCACATTTATAAGAGGACAGTTTAAGCCACAGATAGCAGAATGCAAACCTTGAAGAATATGAGCCAGTAGAGGCCAGTTCCAACAGTGATGATGAAAAAAACATTTGCAAGGTCTCCAGCATAGAAAACCAAGAACTTCATAATTGTCTGAAACAGAAAAAGATAAAAACATTAAGAGTCTATGTTGTGCAGTATTTTTATAACAGCCTCTGAATGTACTTGCCTCCAAGTCAATAAGAGGAGATGCGATTCTTCTTTTCCAGCTTGCTGTCTTCAATAAAGAGTGGACAACAGCCACTCCACCCAGCACACCAAGAGCAATCTGCAATGTGAATTCGCATTAAGAATAATCATACAGAATTACAACATACTATATGTCCTGACCGAAATAAAAAATGACTTTCGGTGCTCTGTTATACTCACATCAGTTTTGATCCGAGCTTCTTCCTGGTTCATTGTATACTCCACAGAGAATGTCACCTGTATATACATGAATTTCATTAGATATCAACATTTCAGGCCTTTCCACACCTGAAATGGTAAACCCTGGATCATTCTAAACCCCAGAAAAATATAATCATTGGTTACTTTGAATCACATTTCACATAGCTGATAACTTTCCAGGCATTCTTACTCTGGTGTTTGGATACTGCACATCTCTAAAAACTTGTTCTTATGAGCTTATTTGTAATGATTTATTTATTACAGACTGTTACTGCACCATCGTGCCACCCCATTCAGCAATGTTAAGACTGTGAAATAGATTTTCCAAACACATGACACAAAATCTGACCAGCTAGGCATCACAATTTTGAGCTCTGAGAAGGATAATTTAATTATTTAATTATTGTATGTGTCAATTACTGGGGCCGTGTAAACATGACAGTAACATTTTCATGACATTCTAAATACAATGGCCAACTTGTTTGTTGGAGTTTGTCTGTGTGGTGTGAAAAAAGCATGTGACAAGCATGTGAAAAGCATGTGACAGGCTGTCCACTTATAAACATCTGGTAGTGATTTAAACACTGCATTGTTTCAAGTGTGAAGCGTTCTTAATAGGAAGATAAAAAAGCGTAAAGAACTATGGAAACACAGGATTAAAGGGATGGTTCAACCAAAACTGAAAATCCTGTCATCATTTACTCAATCTTTACTTGTTTCAAACAAGGAGTTTCCTCCTTTTATTGAACACAAGATAAGATATTATGTAAAATGCTGAAAACCTGTCACAATTGACTTCTATAGTATTTTCTTACTATGTGAATGGTTACAGATTTTCAGCTTTCTTCAAAATACCTGCTTTTGTCTTGTCAGACGATAAGAAAATGTAAAGGGTGAGCAAATAGTAAGCAAGTATTCATTTTGGGTAAACTAACTCTTTTTGCACAGTGTGAAAAAACACTTTTAAATTAGTTATTTTTTTATGAGGTTAATCCTGTATCATATTTTTAAACAAAGTGAAAGTATTTATTAAATCAAATAGTATAGTCATGTTAAATGCAATGGGTTTTAACTGAAATGAAATGCACACTACCAAACAGTCTTGTTCTTCCAAGTTTCAGGAACAACAAATAATAACTTGACTGCTAGTTGATCATTTAGCATCAGAAGTGGCTTATATGAAAAGCAAAGGCCTCTAGATTATGCATATTTTATCAAAATACAATATAATCATGTCTTGATTTTTAATTGTTTAATTAGGACAGTAAGATCTAACTTTGCTTAGACAAAAGTCTTGTAACTTAACAGAAATAATATACAGTAGAGAATCTAAAGTCATGGTGCAGTGGAAAAAGAATTAACATTGTATATGACTCCCATGAGCTTGGACAACTGCATCCACACATTTCTACAATGACTCAAATAACATATTATTAAAGTCATCTGGAGCAACAAAGTAAGTGTTCTTGCAGGACTCCCAGAGTTCATGGAGATTCTTTGGATTCATCTTCAATGCCTCTTCCTTCATCTTACTACACACATGCTCAATAATGTTCATGTCTGATGACTGGGCTGGCCAATCCTGGAGCACCTTGGCCTTCTTTTCTTTTTAGAACTTTGATGCTGAGACTAAAGTGAGAAGGAGCGCTATCCTGCTGAAGAATTCGCTCTCTCCTGTGGTTTGTAATTTAATGGGCAGCACAAATGTCTTGATACCCCAGGTTATTGATGTTGCCACTCACTCTGCAGATCTCTCGCACACTCCTATACTGACTGTAACCCCAAACCATGATTTTTTTCTTCAACCAGCTTAACTGATTTCTGTGAGATTTTTTGGTCCATGTGGGTTCCAATAGGTCTTCTACAGTATTTGTTATGATTGTGATGCAGTTCAACAGATGATTCATCTTAAATAACTGTCACTTTACCAAATAATCAACTAGAAGTCATAAACTCTTTAGAATATGTGCAAAAGTTTTCCTTAAGCACTTGGCATAAACAAAAACAATCCCGTCTGTCTGTTACTGTAGGGATGTTGACATTTACGCACATAAACAAACCGTGATTGGTTGTTTTGCATGCCAATCAGAGAAACCATTGTGGACTTACAGTAACAGTCTGTGTGCTGGGGTCTTTGATCTGTATATCCGAGTAGGCCACACTCATCAGTGGAGGGTAAACCTGTCCCTTCTGTGTATTTGGTACCAGCTGAAACCTGTTCAATGAAACACTGTGCAATGAAGTCATACTCAATACTATATCTATTTAATGTGTTTGCAGTGTGTAATTCCTACCCGATCTTAATGTCAGAAGCCACTCGTATAACTACGGGTGAAGAACTTATAGACTTCTCTCTTCCACTCAATGTGTCGACAAGCATCAGCCTTCGGGTCAGGAACCATTTACTCATGTCAGATCCTAATAAATGAGGAGTTAACACTATAATAAAATAGCAATGCCTTAACATCTGATGATCAAATATATAATTGGATATTATACCCTGATTGACAAACTGGCCGTTAAACTGCTGATTGGCATTTAGGAGAGGCACCGCAAGAAGACGATTGTCTTGGGAATTCTGAATGACCAGGAACACATCATAGAACAAAGGCTCTGGATAACCAGTTAAGAGCTCTGACACAGATAGCACACACTGTGGAAAGAAAAATGCCATTAAATACACATTTACATATTTACATACAAAACAAATAGCTAAATACCATCTGGTTGAGGCAGAAGATAAATGAGACTTACACTCTGCTTGTAGGCTGTCCCGAATTTGAAGGCAGACTGTTGTCTGGTAGGGGTGTCTGGACAGAGCTTTAGAAGATACATAAATTAAAGACAAGACTTTAAAACACAAGCAAATAATAAACTTTCTTCTGATTGAAGAGCTTCAATGTCACATAAGCACATTTGATATTGCAACAGACATTTAGACATTTTGTTGTGAGAGGATCAAGAGATGGGTTGAAAATGCTTCACTTTCTGGAAAGAGCAGCAGCTAATTTGCATTTAAAGAGACACATAGAAACTTAAAAATAAGCTTGATGTCGGTTTTTGATATTTTTATCAGATTAGTATGTTAAATGATATTAATTCTTTATACATTATGTATTTTAAGCTAAAACATCAATGAAACATTCTGGTGAGACATGAAACTTGTATAAAGTAACATATTGGAAAGTATCAGAACTATCTGAGACTTATTTCAGTATGTTGATGTACTTTCTTTCATGTTGCATATCACTACCTCATAGCAAGCTAATCGTAAGAAAGAGTATTAATATGCGGTTGCTATGGAAGCCCTCAGGTTGGACTGTCACTCCAAAAGCAGAAAAAAAATGATCAAGACTTTCATTAAAGACGACCAAAACAACCAGTTTTTTGTGGATTTACATGCACAAATTAATTATTCACCTTAAAATTAACAACAAACATTGTAAATGTATATATCATTTAATAATCTTATCAAGAAAACAGCAGTTCAGAATGTTTCATGGATTTTACCCCAGAAGAGAAACCAGTCCTGCTTGCCTACCTGAAGGTTGCCTCTACCAACGCTTTCCCATCTCAGAAACTCTCCACGCACTGAGTACACAGCAGCTCGCAACTCAATGTTGGTGTTCTGAAAGCAGCAGAACGATTGGTGAAAAAATACTACATTGATGTTTACGTTTAAATGTCCAGTGTTTACCTTTTGTGCCCCTTTAAAGCTGAATCCAACAGGAAGGGGTTCATTCTGAAGAGCCTGTGATGCCATCCCTGGTTGATCTCCATAGTACAGCCAAGGTAGGTTTGTCCTCCTAGAATAACAACATTGTCAAGCAAAGCAGGTTAATTTGCCATGTTTTATGGACCAATGGGGCAAAAGTAGAATTTAGGGAATATAGGGATGCAGAAAGTAGAAAAATGTACGAACAACAAGGATTTAAATCAGACCACATTGGCAAAAATTGCCATGCCTATGGTTAATGATCATTTTACTATCCAGACAAACAATCACCTTAAAGAATCAAGGATTGCTGTAATATGTTTTTTTAAAGTTCAGTCTCCAGGTTTAAATCTCTTTTAAAATAGTTGATAGGATTGAAAGAAAAAAAGATTATCAAATCCAAAGATTATCAGTTATCTGGACATTTTAAGTGCAGAATGAAGAAGATTTTACTCTTAGGATGAAGTATAGTCAATAGGAATATTGCCATGTGCGTAATCTACAATTTGTTCAGATGTCTTATCTATCCATGAAGGGCCTGAGGGAGAGTCTGTAATATATAATCATGTTACTTTCTCATCTGAACCATGTATGAAACGAGGCCTGTGGAACTATAATCGAGTTTTTTATAATCAGGTTATGCATTTAACTGCTATTTTGAACATATGATTCCTAGGTGAAAAGGATACATGTCTGGAGGCACAAATGACGTATGTGAGGAAAACCTGCATAAAAATATGCTAACTCAGACAGGAAGATTGACGCAGCTTTGTTGTTTCTGACAAAGTGAAAAAAACCTTCTGAAATCTAAACCTCAAGGCTTGCGAGTGGTTTCAAAAGACGCAGCAGACACCACATCAATAGCAATAATCATTATGTAATCATGTCATGTATGTTACCAGTAGGAGATGTCCTGGCTGCTGCCCTGAGCAGCTGTTGTTCTGTAGATTGTGTTGTAGAGACCACAGACATCATTGTTGATGGAGCTGGATGAGTGCATGTTCATAACACACATGTTTCCCAGAGACTGACATGCAGTCCGGTTAGAGAACAACTACAGAAGAACAATAACACAGCTTAAAATGGGTGAAACATAAAGGATAAACATTTAAAATAGACTAGTAGACGTGTGAAGAAATGCACCAAACATGCAGCGGCCGAAGAATACATGAAGCTTGAAAACCATGCTGACTGGACAGGGAGAGTCTGTGTAAAACAAACACACATTACACTTTATGACAACTGATTCAAGCTTACTCAAACACTCAAACAAACTATTTACGATGTTAAAGAGAACACTTACCAGTTGGCTAAAAATAACACTTGAGGCAACTGAGGTAGGCAGACTGTTCGCAGGGAAGCACATTCCTCCTGCCTGTTAACAGTGTGATGAAATCATACCTTTCTCATCTTGTCTTTTTAACAGCATCGTATAAACATATACATAAATGTAAACAACAAATGCACCAAATATCTGAGATTCTCACCAGCGTATTCGAAGTGCCGCAAACACAAGACTGAGATGAGTTAATGAATGAGTCCCCACATCTCTCACACCTAAATATAAACATCCCAACCAAATTATTTCAAAATAAATTATGTAATGCAATGTTAAAAATTATAGTTCTCTCAAAAATACAACTTTGCTGTTAATTTACCCCCAAACCATCCAAGATTTAGGTGATTTTTGTTCTTCAGTAGAACATTTTAGATTTTCAGATGCAATTATGGTTATAATTTGGGTATTAATTATAAGCCAATTGTTACAGACTTCATGCAATATCATTAAATCATGAGGAGCCACAGGAACCAATGCATTTTTTCCTATTATGAAAGTCCGTAGTACAGGTTTTCATTTCTTTATAATGCCTTCTTTTGTGTTCAAGAGAATAAAGGTGTGGACCCAATTGAGGAAGAGTAAATAGTGAGTAAATGTTTTTTTGGGGTGAACTATCCCTTTAATTAGATTTTCCTTTTTTTTTCTCCATTTAATTTATTAACCATATAAAAATACACCTACATCTCGGTCTGAGGGTGAGTAAAAAAAACACAAATTTTCACAATTTAATCACAATTTTTTTAGGTGAGCTATTAATTTAAAATCATTAAGAACATAAAAAGTCAGTTATAGAAAAAGCATTGTTACCTGTTGCCTTTCATATCTGGGGCAGAAAAAGCAGGATCTGTTGCACTACATGCTTGACACCTTGCTTCAATTAAGGGATTGCCATTCCCATCTCTCTCCACTACAAAAAACAATCAGATGCCATCAAATATTAAGTAATTCTTAACCATCTACCCAAATTGCACATGTTTGAATTATAGCTTTCAGGAAAAATAACTAAGTCTTTATATAGTCTGTCCAATTAATGCATGTATTTTTTGTTTTAGTAAAAATGACAAGCGCCTACCCAGCACACTTCCCTCAGGACACTGACACTTGCCATCCTTCCCCACAGTTCCAGGACAACGAATACATTCATATCCATCCTGGGTGACCACCTTTGAATGACAGTAATCGTTATTGTATAATAATAATAAGAAGAAGAAGAAGAATTTAATATTTTCATCATTGATTAATGAAGAGACAACATATAATCCAAAATAAATACAGCACCTGATCAGCATCAGGACACTGCTGGCACAAGATAGACACCCCATTACTGACCAGCACTCTGGAACCAGCCTGACACTCACATGCCAGTCCTATACAGTGAAAATAACACAAAAAAAGTTCACATATGTTACTAAGGACCACAAAACCAGTCATAAGTCTCGATATTTTAACTTGAGATTTTTATATATAATGAGATTTATACATATCATCTTAAGAAAATTATTTGAATATATATTTCACTTTTATTTGTCTATTTCTATGTGTATATACGTAACGGAGGGCAGCTAGTAAGTGCTGTACAGGTAAACCTCATTCCTCTGACCTCTAAAGGTGCTCTAGCGACAGATCCTAGAAGCCATGGTCTTTAATCTCTTTGTTAGAGCAACCGACTCCCATGCGAAAGGTTGCCGGTTTGAGCCCAGCCCAGCTCGGAACGGGTTGGGTGGTGTAGGACCAGGGGGGTTACATACACTGTATTTAAATTACTCCAATACAATTATAGTGAGTTTGCACTACACAGTTTAGCTGCATTTTTTGAATTCTGAGTGGCAGTTGAGAGTTGAGTTACCATGACGACTGCAGCACATCCTTAGACAACAAAGAGGACCGTGATGAAGAAACAACTAACTCGTCTCTCTCACTTATTACTAAGGTTAGTTAAATTAACTAACTGTCATATAAAACTATAATACACATGCTTTAATGTATAAATAACTAATTTTACCTGATTATTTTATTAATAATTTTAAGATGTCTTAATTTTAAGTGTGATTTGATTTGATGTATTCAGGTTTTGGGTATATCACTTACTGTAAATACTTAACTTGTCTTCCTGACACAGTAATTTGAATTCAGTCAGTGACAAAGATTCTAGCATTTCTGTACAAATGGTTAAGGTTTCATGTTGTTATTTTTTTGTTTATTTATTGTGAAGTGAGTTGATTCAAGTAATTATACAGTGCGGACTATTTTATGCAACATGTTTATGAATAATTTTGTGAACCAACGTATCTTACTGACTCTAACATACAAATGTGAATGTGTAATAAGACAACAAAGAGTGAAACAACAACTAACTCTTGTCTCTCTGACTTATTACTAAGACTACTGCTTGCTTACAGTCTTCACAAATCCCAGGGACATGTAACAATCTTACCGAATAATCTTTGATGTGTGATTTTTTTAGGTTAGGACCAAGGTGTATAAATAGCACATATGGAGGGGACATGTCTCCACCAATTATCCAAATCTCCAGAATTATTCAAATTTCCCCAGCAATAATTTAATCAGCTCCAAAATAAAATAAATTTCTCTCTATTATCAAACAACAATCAGAATAAAATGGTTAACGCATCACATGCCTCCTCCTTTTCAGACGTCTGCATTCATTTCTCTGCAAAGTAAAATATTTGCATTTACTTTTTGCAGCATGAGACATGGTTGACTTAAAGTGATTTTTATATTATTAATTTAATTTATTTATGGTTTTAAAATAGTGAAAGAACGCTCAAGGTTCAGTTTTTGTGCTCCGAAGTCCCCACCAATATCAAAAGCAACTCTACGCCCTTGAATAGGTTAGAATTTGGTTGACAAAACTATTTGAAAATCAGCAATCTGATGGTAAAAAAAAAAAAATAATATATATATATATATATATATATATATATATATATATATATATATATATATATATATAAATAAGTTCATTAGTCTAAATTAAGTTCATAGCAATGCTTATTACTAATCAAACATAGTTTGTATATATTTATAGTAAGACTTTTTTTTATGTTTTTATAGAACGTGATCTTTACTTAATTATCTCATGATTTTAGCACAATAGAAAAAAACAATAATTTGGTTGCAGCCAAATATATACATAGTTTTGTGTCACTTATCAGCAAGAATTTTTTGTTTTTAAAAGATGTCTAAATACAATCGTCTTGGCTAAAACATGGCTACATTTGGGCTGTGAAAATCTATAATAGACGTCTAATAGGCCAAAACTAGACTAGTTATCAAATAAACAGAAATAAATGACGACACAAAGTCTGTTTAATCTGTCTTTTTGATGACTAGTTTAGTTTTGAGCTATTCCTAGATGGATATTAGATTTTCACTGACAGCCCAAGTTTAACGTTAGACTTGTTTTAGCCAAACTGTCTACCTTTAGAAATCTATTAGACGTCTATTAAACACAAAATTGTTTGCTGGGTTCGCTTCACTTTGTGACCAGTGTCACTTATTTTATATATAATATTATATACTTTAATATAATATCTACATGTTAATCATATTGAAGAATAAACCAGAATAAATATCTATTTTACAAGTTGAAAGTTCTTTAAGCATTTCGATTGTTCTGTGCACTAAAACGGTCGTATCTTTCGATAATTCTACCTTCATTCATGAGAGTAATAATCTTTTAAGTGAATCATCTGCACGCATGCTAATGAAAACATTAGCTCGCGCATAGCAGACTAACGTTAGCTCACAAGACGCGTATTCGTGTATATCTAAGTTACATTAGCAACAGATACAGCAATAAATTGACCGTTGCTTGGTGTACAATCAACCATCTGCACGTTAACTTAGGTCGATCAAAACAAACAAACTAATCTGTGCATGCGCTCGTGTAACGTTACCTGATTTGCTGCTGACTTGATTTGACCCGCATTTCACGCAAGACAGGCTCGAAATATCAAAATAGCTGTTAACGCCACAGTCAGAAGGCTGTCGAAATGATATGGAGAACTGCTGGCAGGAGAAAACGCTTATTTTTAACAGAATTATAATGGAGACACTATACAACAAGGCGCTCCGCGTCCCCGTCGCCATGGTGCAGGATCAGATGACGCTTGATGACGTATTCTTCACGTTTACGTGAGAAGGCGTGTCACATGTGCACGCTCTCAAGTCTCTACCAGAGGAAGTTGAGCTTTCCCGCCGGACATATGCGCTCTGCTCTTTGCATGAGCACCTCGTGCTTTCCGCTGACAGAAAAAAAGCAAAGCGTGCGTAGAGAAGCGTTTATATTGAGGTTTTCCTTTTTTTTTTAAGAAAAAAAGAAACAAAACGGTAAGTACGCGCGAGCCCATAGACAATGACCGTTTGGAAGAAGGAGGAGAAAACTATTTTACTTTAGTCAAGCAACAATAGTATGATTGTTTGGTGGTGGAAGTCCTTTCTTTGCTTTTTTATAACCAAGAGGAGTTTGCTTGTAGTTTGTACAGTGAGTGTTTTTGTTTTGTGTGTGTGTGTGTTAAAATAGAAAACTTTGGTCATGAAACTCTTTTTTTCTTTCTTTTTTTTTTTACAGATTCAACTGGTTTGTAAGAAGACCCTCACCATGACCGTAGTGGTTCTGCGTTTACAAGGGTTAAACACAGAGGCAGGATCTGAAGATATCCGCAGATTTTTCCATGGCTTGCACATACCCGAGGGCGGTGTTCATATTATCGGAGGCGAGATGGGTGAAGCATTCATTATTTTCAAAACAGAGAGAGAAGGTCAATTAGCCATGCGCTACTCTGGGAAAACACTCAAGGGCTCCTCTGTTTCATTGCATATCAGTAGTGTGGCTGAGCTGAAGAGAAAAATGGAGTCAAGATTAAAAAAGCCAAAGCCCACAGAATTGGAGACTAACGTGGTGCCATCATCTCCCACTGACACCAATGCTGCTCTTTTGCTTAGTTTAATGGGTGCCATTTATGGACTGCATTCAAACAACAAAGATAATCAGCAAGGTCAAACTCAGCAAACACCTGGAAATGTCAACCAGAATTCTCCAGAAATGCAAACATGGCCGTTAACTGGAAAACAAATGAATACAGATGCACAGCACAGTCTCAATCATGAATTGGCATCTACGGAGCAGCAGACAGGCAGAGGAGAGAATCTCAATTTAAGTAAGCCAGGCTACCTCCGGCTTTATGGCTTTCCCGACTGTGTAGCCAAACAAGAGATTTTTCAGTTCTTACGGGGACTCCCAGTGTTGGAGGTCATTACAAAAGTTAGACTGCAACTGGGCTGGTGCTGTCTTGTGAAGCTGGCCAGTTTTTCAGATGCAGAAGAAGGGCTAAAATACAGTCACAGAAAATTCAAAGAATTCAACGTTGAAGTCAGACTTGCCCATGAAAAAATGTGGACTGATGCTGTGGAGGAGTCTAAAAATTGCACACAAAACCTTAAACCACACTCCTCCTCGGAGCAAAATGAGGCCAACAACAATCGAAATGCAGTGAGAGCGTTCACTAATAAAAGAATTGCAGAAGAGCAGCCATCACCAGGATCTCCTAAAAAATACTGCCGAAATGACCCATCCCCTCAAAAAGAGTATAGTGTTATTGTCAATAATCTCTCGAGGAACATAACCAAGACGGAAATCAAGAATATATTTGGCTGTCATGCGATTCAAAACTATCGAATTAAACATTTATTAAACAAGTGGGGAGAGAGGACGAGCACCGCGTTCATTACCTTTGACAATTCAGAAGACCAAGCCTCAGCTATGAAGATGAACGGCATGAACGTTGGCTTGAAGAACATTGAAGTGTTGTCTATTACTAAAGAAGAAATACTCGATATACTTAGCAAAAACAGATTTGTGAAATCATGGAGGCCACCGCCGTACGGAAACACACATTTATCTATGTCATGCATATATGCACGCAATTTTCCAGCAGATGTCAGGAAAGAGGAGGTGAAAGGTTTTTTCATGCCCTATAATATCGGTGATGATGCAGTCAGATTGCTTGTGGACAACCAAGGCAATGGTATTGGAGAAGCCATCGTGGAGTTCAGATTTCAGAACATCGCCAAACAGGCCCAGAGACTTCATGGGAAGTATTTTATGGGGGCAAAAATTCTACTCACTTGCATCACACACCAACAGATGGAGAAGATACTTGGTAAAAGGTGAACATCTGGAGACACCAAGATGGTGTAAAATCTATGTAAATGAGGACAACTATTTAATTGAGGATTAAGATTACGCTATTTCATGCCCATTTTTTTTTTTATGAGGTGTGCTTAAACAATATGGGCTCACTAACTGAAGATGCCCAATCAAGATTGTGAATACTACACAGAAAGAGAGAACAAAAGTAAACAAACAAACAAACAAACAAACAAACAAAAGAACAAACAATGAAAAAACAAACAAAGGAGGAAAGACTTCTTCATGCCAAAATATAGAGGACTTTAATGATGTACAAAGGATGGCTATGCACTGTAAATTTAAAAATAACATTTCAATATTCAGCTGATAGGTCAATGTCTTGTTGCTTTGTTCTTATATTTTTGCTGCTAAACACGCATATAACTATAAAACATATGTCAGTTTGTTTAAAATGTTCAAATTTGTTCTGAATGTAAGATAGTATTTTCATTTGGCATGTCAATACATTTCTTTTTGGGAAAAAAGCACTCATTAAAATGTCTGTATGATTTTATTTTCATTTGACATGTAACTTTGATATATTGTAATAAACTTACAGAAATGCCTCAAGTGATGTTTGTCACAAATTATTCCTTTCAAGATGCACATCAGTGACGGTTATAAAACCAGCATCATAAACTGCCGTTATACGACTAATAAGAAAAATAGCAACAGAAATCAGTGAGAACATTGCATAATTGTAACAATGGGTGCTTCTCTGTTCATCCACATGTCTTATCTCCACCCCCTCAGGATAGGAGGACAGGAATTAAGTGAAATTATATTTCCTTTAGCGCCATTTTAAAGTGTTGTCATTTAATGAATACAGCACACAACCAATTTTGTCCGGGTTTTTGAATATAACAGAAAACTGTTTATATAGTAATATTTTTCCACCTTAACATGACACACTTCTCTGTATTTTTTTTTTTTTTTACCTAATGAAATAATCCCTGTTATTAACTGCTTATTTGGGCTAAAAAGGCATGTTACATAGAAATTCAGGAACCTATTAAAACAGCCCACAGTGGGGAAAAGAATACTGAAAAATCGTACTTAAAAGTACCATTACTTGCCCAAAAATTAAGTGGAAGAAAAGTCAAAGTATCTGTTGTTAATATTACTCAAAGTATGAGTAAAAAGCCCTTTGAAAAGTACTCAAGAGTAGTGAGTATTACGCTGTGAATGGCTGATGCATTTACATGCAATTTGTGCATGTGTGAAAATGTACCATTCTGTTGTGTATGTAGTGATTGCTTAAAGCCATTTGGCGATTTCAGTCAGCATACAGAAAACATTCTTCATCTTCTCCTCAGTGATACAGTCTAAACAGTCTCTGGGTCACTGAATGTAAAGATTTTGGACACCTTGGACACATTTTAATGGTTCCAGAGGGTTTGCTGCATTTATAAAGCACTGAAGTCTTGAGGTTGTTCAGTATGATGGGATTTACTTTCTATTTGTGATTTGATTGGATGGGATTCACAGGTCTAATTTTTGTACTTAGCCAATCCCCATAGACAAATAAAATGAAGTAGTGACTGCAAGTAGAAGGAAAATAGTGGAGTAGAAGTACCGATACAGCTCTAAAAATGTACTCGAGGGGAAGTACACATTTATATAACTACTTACAATAATTTGAGTATTTGTAACTTTACACCACTGCCCACATTTACTATAACTATGTTCTTATTATTCACATTAATTTGTTTGAATTGGCTGCTTTTACATAGTTAGCGATTATTGGCACAGAAAGGGAGAATTGCATCAAATTATATCAACAAAACACTTTCGCAAAGAGTTCACCTGTGTATCCTTCCTCATACCTCCTCACAAAACCTTGTGCCATTAGAGGATTGTGAAGTCCTACAAGAAGACTGATCTTGAATGGCTTCTGCATTGTAGATGGAGGTGCGAGGAAACAAAGGATATTGAGATGCACTCAATGATACAGCTTGATACAATCATTGACCTTTAATTAGCCGTTATATCACTCCAAATGGACGAATGAGCAGTTATAAAGAGAATAGTGATTAGTTCAGTACCATTTTTCTGTTAATGAAAAAGCGGCGACAACCCAAATACATCAAAAGATCACTATGGAAATGAAGAGCAGCAAGGGTTACAATACCCTAGATATTGCTTCATGATTGTGCATAAAACTAAAAATCTCATTATAATAAAAACTTTAAATTTGACCAACTGTTATTTGCTACAGTCTATTACATACTCAAAAGCTCCTTTTCACTACCAAATGAGTCAGCATTTTGAACAAATCAATTAAACCATTTACAACACTTCCAATTTGCAAACATATGTGAATCAGATCTGTAAACTTATCCCAGTATTTAAAATATTTTAAAACGCAGAAATAACAAGCCTTTATGTTAAAATATAGCCTTGATACCTTCAGCGCTTTCCATCCACCCACTCCTTCACTGAAATAGAAACTTTACTATTTCTACCATGACTCACGTTCACCTTGACAAGCAGTCATTGTACACGCAGTTAGTTTTATTACATGTACTCAGTTTCCATTCCTTCATCTAATATTTGCAAATCTAGGCCATTCAGTAATAGTGCGAGTTTGGATTTCAAAAAGATTTTGCAAGTCTTCAAACATCAAGGTCTAACAAAAAGGTTGAGGTCTTGCAGCAGATTTGTAACAATGAGACAGACGATCGGGGTCTGGCGAGTGCGCCCTGGCACAGTTTAAATACTTATTCTTCCCTTAAACAGTCACATAAATTCATACATGGGTACATTTCTACTTGCTTCTTGGGACGTTATACCCTTGACCAATTAAGGTCTTTCCTTCCTGCTCTAATTGTGTCAACTCAGCAGAGACAATATATCTTGTCAAATGTAAGTTCGGCTTGCATAATTTAATTTTGGACTAAGGTATTAGGAGCATCCTGTTGTACCAGCAT